CGACCCGTCGCTGTTTCTGCGCACTGACACTTCTTTGCCGCCGTTCTACATCCTCGTGTACGTCGACGACTTGGTCTTCGCCACAGCTGACACTGCTGGACTCGCCCACGTGAAGTCCGAGCTGCAGAAGAGACACACGTGCACAGACCTGGGTGAACTGCGCAGCTACCTTGGCTTGCAGATCACCCGGGACAGAGCACGCCGCACCATTACCCTGACTCAGTCACACATGGTGCAGCAGGTCCTTCAGCGCTTCGGCTTCACGTACTCCTCGCCTCAGGCCACTCCTCTGCCTACTCGCCACTCGCTCTCAGCTCTGCCTTCGGATGAGTCCGTAGAGTCGAGTGGCCCGTACCCAGAGCTTGTTGGCTGCCTCATGTACCTGATGACCTGCACACGACCTGACCTTGCATACCCTCTTAGCATTCTTGCACGCTATGTTGCTCCTGGGAGACACAGACCGGAGCACATGGCTGCAGCGAAGAGGGTGTTGCGCTACTTGTGCAGTACGTCGGGCATGGGGCTTGTGCTTGGAGGGCAGAGTCCAGTGGTCCTCACTGGGCACGCAGACGCTTCTTGGGCTGACGACCAGGCTACGCAGCGGTCGTCAGAGGGTTACACCTTCAGCCTTGGTTCCGGCTCTGTTTCGTGGCGGGCTACCCGCTCGTCTTCTGTTCTCGGCTCCAGTTGTGAGGCTGAGATCTACGCCGGGGCCATGGCTGCACAGGAGCTTCGCTGGCTCACCTACCTGCTGACTGACCTCGGAGAGCCGCCTCGTTCTCCTCCAGTGCTGTACGTAGACAACAAGGCCATGCTGGCCTTGTGTCGAGAGCAGAGACTGGAGCACAGAACGAAGCACATTGCTCTCCGCTACTTCCTTGCTCATGAGCTACAGCAGCGTGGTCAGCTGCGGCTTGCGTACGTGGCCTCTGAGGCCAACACTGCTGATATCTTCACCAAGGCACTTGCGCCTTGTGATCATCAGCGCTTCTGTACTCAGCTGGGTCTTGTGCCTACCTTGCCTCACTTGCTCACCCCTTGACCTTGTTTGTACTGTTGCATATATATATACACCTGCTCTTGCTTGTCTAGCCTTATATATATATGTAATCCTGCATGTGAACTGGCCTTGTGGCCTTGAACTTGTGCTCGGAATGTGTGGTGACTTTGTGATCCACCCTGAGCTTGCTTTGCTTTGCTTGACTGGTCTTGTGACCCCTTGTTCTCCCCCACTTTGCCTATGGGGGTGTGTCAGATTTATATGACATAGCTACTGTAGGCTATAGTGGGGTAGCACATATGGGGTACAGTTTTCTAGGGTTTGCTTTGTACCCAACTTTCCCTTAGTCAATCCATTCCTCATTTCTTCACATTGGCCTCCCTGTGCCCGTTGCTTGTTCTACCCCACCCTTCTCGCCCCAGTCTCCTACAGAAGAGCACTCTCTACATTGCAACCAACGAACCACACCCCCGTTTTTTCTATTATATTAAAACCGCATACACCGTGAAGGGGGAGGAGAAGACCTGAGTTGACTCACAACTCTCCTGTGCTGCTCTTCTCTCCTCCCCCTCCCTCTCACCCTAGCCTCCTACAGAAGCTCCCATCACTCGTCCCTCCAAACAGCACTCTTTACATCGCAACCAACGAACCAGACCCCCACTTCTTCGACCCTCTTAAGGCTTGCATACAGCGTGTACATTCAAGAGGATTTTGCATCTCTCTGGGCCAAAGGGTCGGCGTGGAAGCCGAGATGAGGGAGGTCGCTGCTTCGGTGGGTGTGACGGTGGGGGAGAGGGTGGAGTTTGGCAGTGAAATGCAAGTTCTGGTGGACTATGCGATCAAGAAGCTCTCAAGGCGGACGGTGGAGACGTTTAACGACCTCACGGATGATCCCAAGGACGGTGAGATGCGGTGGGGAGTGGTGGTATGCGGTAGGGAGGCGGTGAGTTGCGGTGGGGAGTGGTGAGATGCGGTGGAGGGTGGTGGGGAGGTGGTTGGGGGAGTTTGGCAGTGAGATGCAAGTGCTGGTGGATTATGCGATCAAGAAGGTTGCGAGGAAAGTAGCATACCATTTCATCCAGCCTTGCTCTACCTTGACCTATCGTGCTTTACCGTGCTCTACTGTGCTTTACCTTACTCAACCTTGATATTATATGCTCTACCCCGTTGCGTTATCTCCACTCCCAACTCTTTTCCCCACAGTGTTCCCGCTCCATGACCTTCCCTAGCAGGTGTTGTGGGCCCTTAAAACATGGGGGTAGTGACAGGAGCAACACAGCGGATCAGAGTTTAGTGGTACGGCACATATCGTTCTAACTTCCTAAGCCTTTGTATACCCTGCCTGCCTCCCTCTCTGTTGTATAGTTACGTAAATCAGAAGCGAAAAACGCTTTAAACAATTGGGAGTCTTAGAAAATGATGGGTGTTGCATTTGTTGGGCTGAGAAAAGCCCTTAGGATCTTTCAAGGCTAATACTCTGTCAGGAATGTTGTATTGCGGAAGCGTTTAATGATAAACTGTTGAACCACCTTGCGCTGGTGTGTGAGGGCAAGATAGATTGATTATAGAGAAGTAATACAAGCTTTTATAAGATTACAAGGAATATGAAAGGATGCAATAACTGTTTTACTGTTGCTGTTGCGGTTCGATACAGTGACGACTCGGGCAACTGCTCAATACCGAGTAAGTTGTTTGTCCTTGCTGTCGCGCTGTATTTGTCGAGTCAAAGGTCGCTGACCTTTGACCTTCGCGTAACCTCCGGCTGTTACCTTTCTGTCAACCTCCTCAGTTGACTCGCCATTGCTGCGCTGTAGTTCGCCTCGTTTACAGTCTGATGTTGCGACACATAAGAAGCGTTAATTACTTGTTTCCAACAGCATTGCTCTTTCAAACTGGGACTGGTGGGAAAACCCTTTTTGTGCTTGCGTTTTGGCACGTTTTCCCGGGGGGGGAGGGGGGTGCGCTCTTCTTGGTTAAACTTGTGCTGCGCACTCAGGTGCTATCCTTAGGGATAAACTTTATAAGGGAATTAAACAGATGTAGCGTGGATTCCGGTGTTACTAGGTGTAAGGAAAATTCCTTTTCCTTACTTCGCGTCCCTGCTCAGCGCGTACATCACTGTTCCCGCCAACAGCACCCAACAGTAATCCGTTACCACTCGCGACACTCGACACTGTCCCCGCCACTGTTCACGTCGCGACCCAACCTCACGGTTCGGTTGGTAACCCGCGCTCCGGACCTCCGCCTCGACATTTCCCAACCTCGGCGCTAGGCCCGTCGCGCACTCCATTTTCACACATTACCGTTACCACTGTAGTTTCGCTATATATTCTTCGCTCATGCCTTCGCTCATTGTACCCTTGCTTCGATAGTGCAATTCTCGCTCGCTCACTCAATTGCACCCTTAACACTGGGAACAGTAATAACTCTGTAAGATATTTGACTTCCGGACCGGTGTATGTTTGCTGCATTGCGAAATCGAGCTAAAATGGGTGTCTGCTGCACCATTTGGGTTCTCACGAGCGGAAGGTCAAACGCGGTTTCTCCGAGTCCGCATGTGCCTAGTAGTCCGACCAAGAGGCTCGCGTGCGGAGCAAGGGTCATAGTAGTCTCCTAGGACTAGCTATCCCCAAACACGATCGTCTAAGATAGTGATACGAGGGCGTAGAGAAATAGAATTTGTGGTTTTTGACGCTCGTCGCCATGGGCAGATCGGGTTTCGACGACATACCGAGTTACCACCTTGGGTTTCTATTCTTCGCCGAAAACGGAACTCATGTTCCCCACCCTTCTCGATCGCAATTATTTGCTAGCAACGCTACCATCAGCGGGCTCCGCTTTGTTCCCGACTACAATAATGGTAGTTTTTTCAGCCAGAATCAACAGACACAAGGCACCAACAAATCATTTTCCTCTGGGGTCTTATCGTCGCTTGTTCTGCGACGATAGAAGCCGATACTATATCTTAACTTGCTTATATGGCTCAGCAACGACACCTCCATACAAGCGCGCTTCGCGCCGTACTACTCTCCATCGCCATCGCATTGATCCTGGTACCGTAACGCTGCGCTCAACAGCGTTGCTCGAACTCCACTCCGTGTGACCCGCCGAGCCTATGCTGCAGGTTAGTCTGAGACGTCTCACAGGGCGCTCCTCTCCCTTCCTGTACGAGTCGTTTCAATGCTTTCAGAGCACAACCTTCAAAGGTTGGTTACAGTCCATTCAAGGTGCTTTCGGAACACACAATCATGCTTTCATCTACCATTTGTCGTTCCGAAATTCTACAGAAGTCGACGTCTTCGGAACACTCATTCATTTTCTACAACCAACCCACCTATCTTTCCAGCTCAGGTTTGCTTTCACGGCAGTCCTGTCCTCTCGCCCTCGAAACACCTCGACTGCCCTTGTCTCTTCAACCTCTCATCCCTTCGCCTGTTTTGTTTTAACTCTCTTTCTCCCCCTCTGTCCTTGACCCTCTTTCCGTTACCTCGAACCTCCCGCTTTTGCCCGCAGCAAGGATGGGTATTGCGGAAGCAGTGACGCCTACTGCGGTGCGGGATGTCAGAACGGGCCGTGCGGCTTTGGTGAGGACGATTGTGCTGATTAAATGCCTCGGATAAACCGGATAGGTTTATGATTCGATGAAATACCGAAGATTTGAATGCATACATTCCCTCTTATTTCTCCATGGATCCATGCACACACACTAATGCATTCGCGCATGCACACGATATGCATACAGCCATGCATACACTCATGGCGCCACCTTACTGTCAGTCACCATCGTCTCTCCCGTTGATTCCAGCAACGACAACTCAACAGTTCTGCACTCGCTCCTCGCTTTGTAACACACACACATGCCTGTCCGTCACCATCGTCTTTCTCTCTTTTATGCCAGCAACGACAACTCAACAGTTATGTTCCACCTCATCGCCCTGTAACCCGCCGAGCCTATGCTGCAGGCCAGTTCAAATTCTGAGAAGTTTCACAACCCGAGCCTATGCTGCTTGTCCGCTCGCCGTCGCTCCTCTCCCTGCCTCCTTCCTGCGTGTCGTGCCATGCCATCAGAACACACCCTTTCGGTCCGTCGGACCTTTCAGAGCTCACACTCCTTTTCATCTACCTACCGATTCCGTGGCCTCATCCCTTCCCCCTTCTTTTCTTTCACCTCCCCCTTCCCCGCTGTAGTAAGTAACCCTCTTTCCCTGGCGCCTTCCTCATCCTCTTTCTCCTGTCTCGTTTCTCACTCTCCTTCTCCTCTTTCTCCTGTCTCGTTTCTCACTCTCCTTCTCCTCTTTCTCCTGTCTCGTTTCCCACTCTCCTTCTCCTCTTTCTCCTGTCTCGTTTCTCACTCTCCTTCGTTCGCAGCCAGTGGGGCTGGTGTGGAAGCAACGACTCCTTCTGCGGTGCGGGATGCCAGAACGGGCCGTGCTCTGGTGAGGAGAATGGTTCAGATGAGTCAGATGATAAATGTGCTCTGGTGAGGAGAATGGTTCAGATGAGTCAGATGATATTTATGCTCTGGTGAGGAGAATGGTTCAGATGAGTCAGATGATAAAATATGCTCTGGTGAGGAGAATGGTTCAGATGAGTCAGATGATATATATGCTCTGGTGAGGAGAATGGTTCAGATGAGTCAGATGATAAATATGCTCTGGTGAGGAGAATGGTTCATATGCGTCAGATGATAAATATGCTCTGGTGAGGAGAATGGTTCATATGCGTCAGATGAAAATATGCTATGGTGAGGAGAATGGTTCATATGCGTCAGATGATAAATATGCTCTGGTGAGGAGAATGGTTCATATGCGTCAGATGATAAATATGCTCTGGTGAGGAGAATGGTTCAGATGAGTCAGATGATAAATATGCTCTGGTGAGGGCGATTCCGATGATTGAGATCCCGCGGATGATTAGGATAGTTTAGGTATTTGATTCAGATGATTCGGATGAT